GGGGTCGGACAGACCGCGGATGCGGCTTGTTTAGCAGCTCGGGGGTCCTTTAGTTAATACTTGTGCATCAACAACAACAATAAAAGTTACAACAACAACAAAAGTTACACCAACAACAACAACAACAAAGATAACTGGCGACGACTTCTTGGGGGACATTGTTTAGGCCGAAGAATAATAAAGACTTGGGAAAACAAAGACGGCAAGAAAAGCCTCCCTCGCCTACAGTGTTGATGATGAGAAACCTGAAAGTACGCTTTGAAAACCTATAGATAACCAAGAAAATATATAAGATTTTTCAGAAATTTATAAGGAACTTCTTTTTAAGTAAGTTTGGCATATAAAACCTGAGTTATTTCTCATTTTTGAATTTTTTGTAACTTTAATTTTTATTAAATACTAAAAAAATCATTTTTCCTAGCAAAAGTTTAACAGCTTTATAAGATGAACACATAAATCTTATTAAAATTAATTTCCATATCGTATTATGGAGATTTATAATTTCAATTTTATAGGAAAGGTACCGACTTCTTAGGCAAAATATAAAGGATTCACCTTAACAAAAAATTGGTTAATTATATAATAAAAATTGGTATCATAAAATACAATTTAATACTACAAAATTTTAATACTACATAAAAAATACTAAAATTTAATACTAACACTATTTTAGCAAACCGAGTTGAAAGGATTAAACATTTTGGAAAATAGTGTAAATATGTTAAAGTAGTACATATTTAAATATAAATTAATTGTAAAATGTATTAAAAATTATTTGATTTACTTTATTAAGTTGGTAAATTTATTATTTTTCCAGTGTAAGAAGGAGAGGTTGAGGTCCCCGAACGGGACACGCGAGAGCGAAAGGCTTAGGAGCACAGGTCTGGGCAATTATTGTTGATGAATACACCCACACAGACCGATATGAAGTAGGTCTTCCAGCCCTAACCTCAAACCCCTTGTGGGGTTGCACGCAAAGTGTAGCTTTTCTTTTTTGGAAAATAATGGAAAACGTCTCTCCTTCCTGTGCATGGAAAACAATAATTTGTTATCTGTCCGCTCGGAGATCCTCTCACTTTTGGGCCTACAGTCTATAAATCACAAGAAACCGAAAAATATCCATCTATGCGTGGGCTAGCAAATCGTTTTGTGTGCCGGCAAAAAGATAATTAAGACATTATGGCATATCTTATGCCATGGCACATATAACAATGGGAAGGCCTCGCTTAATGTGGTGGCATTTCATAAATAATGATTAGAAATTAAATGGGTTCTGCATGGCGCAGGAAGCAGCTCCATTTACCACCAAAAACAAATTACCAAACTAACGAGCCAAATGGGAGGAAATCAATATTAGATCAGAATAGATTATTTGCAGCAAGGTATTTAAAATATTTATGTATGCATTTGTCTCAATTAAAACTTGTTTCGGTCGGAATTAAATTAAATTGTAGTAGTTTATGAATACTATGATAAATAATAAAACAAAGCTGGCAAAATGTAGTTTTCTTTTGCCATGAGATAGGATTTTAAATTGAAGAATAATTGGGATAACAAATTGCAAGCTTGGCACTTTATGTGAATGGATAGTAAATTGGTGATTAAATATTTTAAATGATAAAAGGTAGATAAAAAAAGAAGATACAATTTATTTATTTATTCCCATGTTTAATGTGTTTATTTACCTATTTAATGTGTTTATTTTAAAGAGTATAAAATACTATAATTATTCATGCAGTGCAGAAGTGTATTCTGTAATCATATTATAATATTTGAAGTTGACAAGTCCTTATTAAAATATGTTTTGGAGTAATCCTTAGGGACTTCTTCTGGCTGTCCATTAATTTACGCTTGTGCGGACTGAATCTTGAATGCCGAGGCAGAACACTATAAATCTAATTGAAAAACTAATTTGCCAGCGAGCAGCTGAATGATGGGGAAATTCCAGTGCCAGCTTGTATAAATTTGTTAATTTCGCCTGCGCTAATTTGCTGTAACTAATTAAAAAACACTTTAAGTGAAATATTTGCCAGTCGCATAAATATGCCAAATTGCGAAGACAGAGATACACGGCGGAGCAAATCTAATTAATGTGCGAAACAAACGGGCGGGAAATTTATTTAGCGCTTTTGCGAATGGCAAAGGACACCTGGAACCTGGCCCCTGATTTTGTACCCTCCTTCATTTTCATCCTGGCGGCAATAATTGCGTACATTTTTCACAAACAGACAACAACGAGTGGGGCACTTCAAGTGCCTTCAAGTGCCTCCAATCTGTGTCCTGTGTGTGTTTTGTCTGTCTGAGCGATGATTTGATTCGGCTGCCTGTTGGTACATTCGTACCTCTGAAGCCCCAGCATCTATATATTTTATATATACACTATAGCATAGTGTTCTATGGGCCCTATACCATCCTCACTCATGTGTCCAACTGTCTGTTTGCTTATCTGTTTGTGTGTTTGCTCGTCCTTGGCGCTTGTTTGAATTGAATTTGTTGCCCTTTGACGTGAATTGGACTGCTGACGGGCGGGATTTATGGGTCAGGCTGAAAGGGCTTTCAAAAACGCCAAATCAATGCGGTCAAATCGGAGACTTGTAATACAAATTACTTGTAGAAGAGATTCATGTCGATGCTTTGGGCTGTATGGCAATCCAATTGGGTGAAATGATTGATTACTTTTTCTATTCAAGTTTTTAGTTTAACAATCTTTCAGTGGATCACTAACAAAAAACAAAAAAAGAAACCACGTATTTTTCAGGTGGAATTTCCCTGAAGAATTCGCGTTTTCTTTACTATTATGTCGGATAGCCTTAAGTAAAAAATACAAAAAAAATAAAACGCGAATACTTCAGGGGATTTTATAACTACCAAAAACATCTGTTTCCTATAACTTTATGAATAAAATAATCTAAAGCCAAAAAATTACAAACTCCTTTTGACTTTTAAAATAATAAAGCATTAGGAAAGATTTTCAAATTTTACTTTAATTTGAAAAGTATTATGATGAAGTTGACTTCCTAGTATTATTATTTACATTTATATTTCTAAAATATTGTAGCATACTTTTAAACACCTTATAAATGATTTAAAGCTGTTTTTTGCCTAAGAGTATGCTATGAAAAATACCACAACGCCTTTTGTTATTTATTTATAGAACTTTCGGCTTAAAATAAATGGTAGCATACTTTTAAGCCCCCTAAAAGTGCTTTTCAGTTGTTCAACATTTTTGCGACTCCCCCGCAATGTGCACGAAGCACTCAAGTACAGCCTTATAAATGTTGGATACCTTTTTTGTACTTGCCTTTATTGATTTCCCGTTTTCCCATTTGGTGTGCATATTTCCAGAGCCATGTCCGAACTGAGATCGATACACCTGCACGCACCTGTCGCGAGACCGTTGTAATGCTAATAAATTCTCGGGTGCCATTGGTTTAATTAAAGAACCGTCAGAGCCGGACTCCGCGGAGGGTCCTCGACCAGGCTGTGCGGCCTTTGCGGGCTGACCAATTTGAAGAGGTGGGCGGAAAGGTGGAAAGGTAAGGGCATTGTTCGACCAGGAGCATACTCGTCAATCTGTGGACGCGCCTACGCTCGCCGCGGCCCAATCGGGCCACTGGCGGCTATCTGCTGACGGGCACAAGTGCGCCGCGCGAGGATGAGTTCGTCGCAGGACGAAGGCATCTCCAGGATCAGGGCAAGGATAAGGAGCAGCAGCAGCAGCTGGGACGGCGGGCATACACACCTGCCGATGAGTGTTTAATTAATGTGACAGACTTTAGTGATATTCGCGGCGAGGCTGTGGCCCAGACCATCACCGAGCTGAGAGTGCCCACCATAACGACCACAAACATCAGCAACATCAACAGCAACAGCAGCAACATCCACAGCAACAGCAGCAACAGCAACAGCAGCAACATCAACAGCAACAGCAGCAACATCAATAGCATTAGCAACAATAGCAACATGTCGCGCCTTATACAACCACGATATCGTTTTAGGGATCTATTGCTGGGCGATTTCTCATTCAACGATGACGGCGAAAGGTAAGTGAATTTGTCCATTACATTCACATTGCGCATACGCCCCATTGCCCAGTGCAGCACTTAACGTGTCACCATTTTGCTGACTGCCTCCTAAAAATAGATTCCTAATTACGCCCGCCAACTGCAATTGGCAAAATGATTTTCTCCTTTGGCTGGCAATCGATTAATCGATTTTCATTACGATGGGGGTATAACGTCCAGACCTGTCTTCAGAGTTATTCAAGCGAAGCTAATCGAAATTAAAGAAAAAGGGACAAACGCTTGTCACTTTTAATTTACTTAAATGGTGGAAATTTATTATGGTAAGTGCTACACGAATCAGAAGGGTCTTTAAATCATTTTTAAATTGTCCGTTTAGGTGTCTAAAAGTATGCAGTGAATATTAGATGAAGTTTTTTAGCTTAAACAAAATTGTTGCCTACTTTTCGACACCTCAAATTTAATTTCAAAGTGATTTTTAAACCCTGGTGTTTTGTGTGGCACCCGTGAAAATCTCGTTCTAAAAACTAGAGTTATTTCATAATTTAAATCAAAACTCAAACACGCACAGCAGTGATATTTTTTTAACCTTTCACCTCTCCCCCAATGCAATTGTTTTACCAAAATCCAGTATCTCACATGAAAACCTGTCTAAAAAGGAGAAACCCTAAAACCAATCAATATCCGCAGCTCTTGCCATTCTGTTTGAGTGTCCATTCAGTGCCACGAAAATTGCAAAAAAACACCGAAAATGAAAGGGAACTGAAATAATTTGATTTGGCCATTGTTTGCTCTAACCATAAAACAAAAAAACCATATCAGTATTTTACATATTCAGCTGGCGAAAATCTTTATGGGTTTTTAATTATTTATTTGTGGCGGAGCAGCGTTGCCCAAAATCGCAGTTAATTTAGTTGAATTCCAATGACTGACCAGAGCATATCTACGATATTTTTTGTGGCTCTATGCCTAATTACAATGGGTATAAGTGCTAAAGAAAACGTGTGTGGTGTTTGATAGTTATAAAATTTCAAAGAGTGAATAGAACTTAAAATATTTTCAGAATAACAAGACGAATACAATTTTCTTAGGCATGGAACTAAAATACAATAGGTCATACGTGGAATACTTTGGTTTGGCTCCTGGGGAATCTCAAATGCTGATGATAAACGTAACAAAAGTGGTGAAAACAGCATTCATGGATAATCGCATTGAAAACGAGGCCACTAACAGGACCGTATTCAATATCAAGAACTTTGCCGTCTGCAATTTTCTAAATAACCGCCTGCTCCCAAAGCTTTACTCTGCGTTCTATGAGGAACTTGTGGGTAATTCCACTGTCTTCAAGTGTCCCATTTCACCGGGTGTGTACTACTTAAAAAATAATATCAGAGAAGTCGTTGTGCCTTTTTTTCATCCACCTGGCAAGTTTCGTTTAATTGTACTGTTAAAGACGGAAATAGAAGGATATTCTGTTGTGGAGCTCTTCTGGCGATATCGTGTTATAAGTCTATAAATTTGTTTTGATATTAATATTAGAGACACTAAAGTTCTGTAATGCAGCTATACGGATAACAAAATAAAAATTATATTTCCATTTAAAATGTTTGGTAAACTAAAAATGGTTTTTTTAATGTTTCCCCTTAATTAAACGGTTTAATCTGACAATTAAATGCTCGTTAATGGGTTGAAGTCAAAAGAAATGGGAAAACGATTTGTTCGGTTAGTTTGAAAATGATTTTCACTTTTTATGGTTGTTTTTGGGCCTTCCTGTGGACAGGGGTCTTTGTCTTAGCTGCAGATCAGGAGGTAATATTAATATAAGGTAGTCAAAAATATACTAATTCATGGATATACCACAGCAACCGCCTGTTTTTAGGAGGGGAGGATCCAAATTCATCATGGAATCTCTTCTCACCAGTTGTGATAACAACTTTGTGGACAATTTTCGAAAAGTTCCCAACAAGGTGGATATCTACACCTTTCGCGTAGTGAAACTGGCTTCAGCCTTTACCATTAATATAGCTGTGAGGGTCCTGAAAACGAAGAGAGTAATGTACAAAGTGGATAACCTAGATGGGTGTCAATTCCTAATGAATCCCCTGATGAATCACGTTTTTGGTTCTGTGTACAAGCGGTTAATCGTCAATGGCACTTTCTTTAGCTGCCCAATAAAGCCGGGTGTGTATTACCTCAGGAACGAGGGCTCGGTGGACATGTTGCCCAGTTTTCACCCTCCCGGAAGATATCAGATCACCATGCGCATCAGGATGCACGAAAGTAAAGCACCCTTCGTGATGGAGATGCTGTGGATATATAATGTAGTTCGAATAAAGTAAATCAAGGACAATGTATAGTTCAATGGTTTATAAAAGTCCTCAAATGAACACCAAACTTATTTTAATTTTTTCACTAACTATGGACCTAGTTTAAAATAATATATATTTGTTTGAGGCTTCAATATTATGAAATGATATTTCAGAAATAGATTATAATGTTTTTTTAAAGGAGGAAAACAATGGACTATCTTTAAAAATAAACTGTAATATTATGTTCCTATTCAAAATAAAGATACAAATATTTTCAAAATTTAAGCGCATTCATAAAAGTATTTAAGAAAAATAAAACTTGGGTATTTAATTTGTATATATTTAAAAAAAAAACAAAACGTGTTTGGTCGCAAATGCTTTTTTCCGATAGCGTTATTAAGCAATCTTCCACCTGAATGATTGGGTTTGTGGTCGATTAATAGCTCATCAGTCGAATTGTGGTTGTGGAAATAAAATCATTTAAGAAATTGTGGTTCCATGGCATTCAGTAAAGAGGTATTTTCAGTTAAAATGCTATTTGAAAGAATGATCCTTTCAGCTGACAGTGCCTGAAAATTTTAAATACATTTTAAGGTTCAGCGTATAGAATTAATTTAATTTTTTTTCTGTCCAAAAGCTTGTTTCTATAATTTGATTTTAATTATTTGTTATTAATGATTGTGTTTTAAGTCAATTAATAGCTCATCACGCGGAATTTTGGCTTAGGTAATAAAGCCATTTAGTCAGTAGTGGTACTATGGCTTTCAGTGGTGGTTCTGTTTTTTATATCGGCCTGTTTTGCATTCTATCTGTGATAGCAAAAGAGAAGGTATAATCAGTTGTTAGACAAAAGTAATAATTTAATAAAATATATAAAACTTTCACAGCCCTTGGTCTTTCAAAAGGGCAACATAGAGTTTATCCTGGAATCCCTGGAGACGAATTGTGATCATGATTATGTGGAGTACTTCCAAAAGGTGCCCAATACAAAGCTTCTATATACTTTTCGGGTGGTGAAATTGGCCCCATCTTTTACCATCAATATAACAATGAAAGTGCTCAAAACTCAGAGAGTTTTGTACAAGATGGAGGATATCAAGGGCTGTGACTTTCTGAACAACCCAGTGCTGTTCAAAGTGTTTGGCGAGACCTACAAACACCTGGTGGTCAATGGCAGTTACTTTAAGTGCCCCATCAAGCCGAAGGTTTACTATCTGAAAAATGAGGGCACCGTGTCAATGATTCCCACCGTTCATCCACCTGGTCGCTTTCAACTAACGACGAGGATAAAAATGGCAGAAAGTCGACAGCCATTCGTTATGGAAATGTTGTGGAAATACAAAATTGTACGCATCAAATAAAGTCATTTGGCATTTTTGGCTGTGCCAACGATTTTTGTCTATCTAATGATATGTTGTTACTAACTTACTTGTAATTAGTCATTATGGAAAAGGGTTATTTTGGTTGTTGGTTCGCACTTAATCGATTTCCTCGACCTAATGACAAATATTGATTTTATTAAACATATTTTTGTGTTGCTTAAATATGCAAATTTTTAATATTAATATATTCTTGAATGTAAATATGTTTTTATGATTTATTTGGAAGAAGATCTTCTATGAGTTTAACTTTTATTTAAACATTTCTCTTTGTTTTTCTATGATGTAGAAGTATAAAATATTTAATTCTCATTAAGTTAACTTTATTAAGTAATTTTCCAGCTGAATGATTGCTGTCAATTAAGAGCTCATCAGTCGAATTGTAATCGAAATAAAAATATAACCATTTGGTCAGTTGTGGCTCAATGGCGGTCAGTGGGAGTTATCTTTTTACCCTCTGGCTTACTTTTTGCATACTCTCTGTAGTGGCAAAAGATAAGGTATTCCCGATTTTACAAAAAATTAATTAATTACTTTAAGTAATTACTTAAAATTCCCACAGCCAGTTGTCTTACAATGGGGCAATACTAAATTTATTTTCGAATCACTGGAGACGAACTGTGATCACGACTATGTGGAGTACTTTAATAAGGTGCCCAACACGACTTTTCTATATACTTTTCGAGTGGAAAAATTGGTCTCGGCCTTTAATATTGATGTTGTTCTGAAAGTGCTGAAAACTCAAAGAGTTTTTTACAAGGCAGAAAACATGTGGGGCTGTGACCTTCTGAAAAACCCGCTACTTTTCAAATTTTTTGGCAAGTACTACGAGCATCTGGTGGTCAATGGCAGTTACTTTAAGTGCCCCATTGAGCCAAAGATTTACTATCTAAAGAACGAGCCCTCCTTGTCAATGTTTCCCACCATCCATCTACCTGGACGCTTTCAGCTGTCGATGCGAATCAAAATTCCAAATAGTTCCTGTCCTTTCATTATGGAAACATTGTGGAAATATAATGTTGTTTAACTAGTTTTTAGGCTCCGTTGCAAGGGTTCCATAATGCCCTTTTATACTGTTTTAAAGTGCAGCATTTATTTTTATTTAAATTTGAACAACCATGACTGGTCATTTTCCTCAATTGCTGTATCAAGGAATCGTTCATCAATGATTGGATTTGTGGTCAATTAATAGCTCATCAGTCAAATTGTTGTTAAATAAAATAAAATAATGTGGTCAGTTGGTCTCCATGGCTTTTAGTGGACGTTGTTTTCGTTCTTTCTGGCTGTTTTGCATACTGCAAGTAGCAGCAATAGATAAGGTAATCTAAGCTTTAAAATACTTAATACATTTAAAAAATATTTATAAAATATTTACAATCCTCCCAGCCAATGATATTTAAAAAGGGAAACATAGAGTTTATCCTGGAATCCCTGGAGACAAGTTGTGATCACGATTATGTGGAGTATTTCCGAAAGGTGCCCAACACAAAGCTTCTATATACCTTTCGAGTGGTAAAATTGGCACCTGCTTTCACCATCGACATCACGGTGAAAGTGCTGAAAACCCAAAGAATTTTCTACAAGATGGAAAACATTAAGGGCTGTGACTTTCTGAACAATCCAGTGCTTTTCAAAGTGTTTGGCGAGACCTACAAGCACCTGGTGGTCAATGGCAGTTACTTCAAGTGCCCCATTAAGCCAAAGGTATACTATCTGAAGAACGAGGGTTCGGTGTCCCTGATACCCGGTATTCATCCACCTGGCCGCTTTCAGCTCTCGATGCGTGTGAAAATGGCGGAAAGTCGTCATCCGTTCGTTATGGAAATGTTGTGGAAGTATAAAATTGTGCGCATCAAATAAAGAGATTTGCTTTGTCGGGTGTGTGCGGGGTGTGCAAATTACCTAAGTTGTTAGTTAGCAGTCATTACTTCCCAAGTTCTGCATACGAGACATTGCTCATTCGCCGCGTTGGCCGCACTCGTTGCTCATACGCAACGTGGTTCACACTCACTCACTCCCAAAGGTGCCATAAGCTGCGAGATGGCAGTGTGTGTGCTTTGTGGCACTCGCAAAATCATAACTCGCAATGGCAATGCCTTCTTCGCATTTAATGTAGCGTAAACTTTTAATTTTTTATAAGCCCAGCCGCCTCCATTGCCAATTTTGCCGGGCTCTTCCCTGCTCAGCTGACTGCGACGTGCGCAAGTGGCCGTGGCTGTTGCCTTTTATAATGCCACGTAGTCCCAGGCACTTGGCCCGGCCCATAGCACATGGCCCATGGCCCACGGCCCAGTCGGCCCAGCCGACCAGGGGTTCTTCAGTGTGTCACGGATGCCTGCACGTCCCGCTTGGCCAGGGTTCCCTACCTGAAATCGGTTATAAACGAATTGTCAAGCTCCAGCGGCTGTTGGATTGTACTACGATGTTTGGGCTTATTACATATGCTACAGATACAATCCTGAGCCTTAAAAGCCTCTGCTTCGGTGTCACAAAATCCACAGAAGGGCTGGCATGTCTAAAATTTTGTGTTTGCATTTTATTAACCTTTAATAACTTAGGCAGCATTCTAAAAGAAGCAGCATTTGGCTTCTATCAATTTTAACCATTTAAATATTTAAATAAAAATATTTATTTAAATAATAAAAAATATTTATTTAAATATTAAAATTGTTAAAATTTATTTAATATTTTTACTTAAATATTTATTGTTATATTGGGCTTAACAGCTTGTTATTTAATTTTAAATTAACTAAGAAACATTTATTTGAATATTTTTTAAGCGGTGAAGATTTAATTTAAATAAAAAGTTATACCCTTAATTATTTTAATATTTTCTTAAACCAGATAACGATAATTATTATAAAAATATTTAGATTGTTAATATTTTGTAAAACTTTTTTAAATGATTTTTTGAACTTGGAATTTTTTTACGTTCGCTTAAATAATTTATTCAATCATATTTTGTAACTGAAAAAGTGATATCAACATGTAATATGTTTAAAACATGGTTAGAGCATATCTGATTTGGTTCTTCACCCCTGGAATACCAAGTTCTTTAAAACCTCCCAAAGAATTCCCTTCTGGTCCTGGCTTAAAGGCTTTGTGACACTGTGTATACCTTTTTGTCGAAACCCTTTTTTATGTGAAATATTTAATAAGTACGCGGGAATTACGCTTTGTTTTGTGAACGTTGACGACGATGGCATTGCGAGATCATGATTTATGGGTCCTTAAACACAACACTTTTATGGCCTAATCCGTCCTTCAAGGCAGGGTCCAAACCCCAGAATACTTAATTGCTCCTCCAAATGGTCGTGGAATTCGTGATTTTAATGGCCACACGTTCGAGTGCAGCAAGTTGGCAATTTGTTGGTGCTCGTTAACAGATGAAATTGTCCGCATTCCGCGACAAATATAACATTTCCGACCTGCTAATAAAGGTCAGAGTTCGGGCCACTTGAAGTTATCCCACACAATCCACTTTGGCTTTATTAGCAAACAAATTCCAGAGAAAAATTCCTGGCACTGTGCGCACTTGAAATGATTTGGAAAATGCGCAGACAATTTTTTACTGCGTAACATGAGTAAAATGTTCAATTAGGCCAACTAGGGGTTTGTTTATCTTTTCTGCAAAAAGGGTTTCCTCCGAAAGACTTTCTCATTATGTCTAAGTGGCGAAATGGCCAAAAACATGAAAGGAGAAAATCAAGGGTAGAAGCTTTTTTCTGGCTGAGTTAAGGCAAATTACTTGTTTTCGCACGTTTAACACAATTTTTCCGCCAGAATGAAAAATCTGTGCACCTGATAGGTGGGCCCTGAATTCACTTGCTTTTTTTCCGCAACTAAAGTGCAGCTTTGGCCTTCGTGAAAATACTTCAGCGTATCCATTAGTGCTGATTATGCTGCTTACGAGGGGGGAATGTGTACTCGAAAAAAAGAAAATACTAAAGGGCCCGTTTGTGAAATACAATTTCTGACATTTTCCATTTACATCCGTACATCTTTCGGACACATACTTTCCGTGAGCCGACACACTTGTGTGGTTTACCATAATAACTTATGTAAATCGCTTCCTTCTCAGGGCGTTTTTCCATTTTCCACTAACATTCAACTGCAGCGCTGCCTGCAAATTTTTATTATTATTCTACCAGGTACTTATTACAATGAGGGGTATATTGTTTTGCGCTCATTAGCAGAACTTATTGCAAGTCTGTAACTTAAAATTACAGATTTTTTTAAGAACAAATTGAATACCAATTACCATTTCATTTAACATCAATTTAAATATTTTTTAACAGGCTTGCACCCAAACAATTTCCTACTTCATGTTGATCTTTTGAAAATTACAAATTGATAATTTAGTATTTATTTATTGTATTAGAGCTAACACATTAAAATTGAAAGCCCCTTTTTAGCATTTTATGAGTTTCATTTGGTTTAGTTTTAAATATTGGCTTGTATTTTGTCACTTAATCTTATTTAATCTATCAATCTATTTAATAATCTATTTAGTTATAATATTTTATCCTTGTAAACATTTTTTTTAGAGGTTCCATATGCGTCCATTTTTTCTCACATTTTGTTAAAATGAAAGCTAAGCGGCAGTGTGTATATCATACAAATTGGGTAATATTTCGTATAAAACGTTTATATCTCTTAGATATAATAATATTTCTTATATCTATCCTATTCTTTCGTCAAATTGTATTTAAGAAGAGGGTAATCTGTAGTCTAATTTGTTGGGTACCTTTCTTGCTCATATTTTGCGGCTCCTTTTATGACAAGTCGGACAGGTGCCTCTCATATCCCGACGTTAATCCTGTAGTAGGTCCCCTGGCTGACGAAGGAGGTGGAGCAGGCTGCCTTAATCCATACGGCTGTAATTATAATAGCATTGTGTATAACGCACCCACAGGCTGTTGCCATTGCGCTCTCAATAATGGATATATCTGGGACTACGGGAACATGCCGCAACCAAGGGCCCTTCGACGTACTCCTGTGGCATTAATGCTTGCAAAATGGTGTGCATTATGCATACAGTTCTAAATTTAGGTCCCCTGGTGTTCCGCTTTCAAGATTGGTGGTTGGTTTCAACCTGACGGCTTCAGTGATTAAATCCGTTGAGTAAATATAGCGCTTTGGTTCCTGATTTTAGGTGCGAAGCAAAAGCCACAAATTATTGAATTAAGTTTAGGTTTATAGTCTAACAAGAGATTCGCCATTAGTCCTTTAAACAAGTCTTTTTTATAAAGATTTTATTTTATTGACCTTCTTAAATGTAAAGAGATATGTCGTTAACACCTTTTTTAAAACATATTGAGGATAAATGTTATATTACAGAGTTGATAATATCCTATTTTAATAATATCTCTTGGAAGTCATAAACTTTCAAGTAGTTGTATTATAGAACCAACGAAATGTTATAACGTATAATATATCTTTCTAAAGTCGTTGTGCCTTTTAAGCAATTTTTGTTGCATCCGGCACCATTATTCTCGGCCATTAAATTAGTTTTATAAATACATTTTCACCGTACTGAGGCATTTAAAGCGGCTATCCTGCTTCCGTTTCTATTTTCCCCAACTTTGGCAACGTCACTGACTATTTTTACACCTGGCAACAAAAAAAGTGAATGAAAGGCCGCACTTTATTCGAGGTGAACCGACCTGAACCCTCACATTTTCGCATCGGTCCAAAGGGCAAAAGAGCAATATAAACAGCGTTTGTGTTCATCAATGAATGAACACTCGTAAATAAATAATTATGTGTTCCACAACTATAGGCGGTGGCCCAGGATCGATGGAGGTCAGCCAAGGCGAATTCGAGTCGAACAATTGCGATGGCAACCGAAGTGCAGCCGTTTTATTACCACTTTTGTGCTGAAAGCAAAGAGCCCAAGTCAATGTGTGAATGTCTGTGAGGGTTCGAGGATTTGGGGTTCCTGAGGGGAAGGTTCAAGGAGTTCCACCAAAAGAAAAAGTTCCAAAATCAATCAACGTGCGAAAAAGGCAATTTGTGGCTACCAGT